ATATCTCGTTAAAGGGAGGCACGTTCGTATTACGCTTTAGAGAAATCTCGATGATAAATCTGTACGCTTCGGGCTGCACACCCGTCTAGCTATGCCTCTGGCCAGTTTGTATTTTTCGACTTTCAATATTTCATCCAGCGTTTTATGCGAGCGTACGCAATGTCGTTCGAAAAACCGAACGCCACTTGCATGTACATAACATAGAGATTTGCGAGATACTTTTACTACTATATATATATACTATATATATATATACTATATATATACTATATATATCAACGACTATCGATTAAATCGCTAACTACATATCATATACTCGAAAAACTGTGATATTCGAACAATTTGCCGCATATATCACAACGAACGCAAATAACGAAATGTCGCGAATACTTCTCGATAAAAGGAAAATGAAAAAAAGAAGAAAAAGATACTCTTTGCTATACAGTAAAATGCTACACCATAGAATTTCGATTAGGGAAAACAAAAATCAAACCTCGACATGGTAGAGGCTCTTCGGGTCGAGGACACTTTGTAAACATAATCTCCAGATCTTTTACTAATTGCATTCACACGTTTGATATTACATATCCTTGCCTGGATTATCGATACTCGCGGGTCTTGGTTGCAGCTGACAGGATTCACGAATGAATTACGACTTCGAAGCTGAAACAGTGTAATCCATCGAACACGAGCGCGCTGTTCAACTCTCGAATTTGTATCTCGTTCGTCTCGTTAACGACGGAAAGGTAGACTCTCCCGCGTCATTTTTTTTCTTCGCCGGGAGAAACGAGTAGATTGGCCGAGAGATACGGGGAAAGCTTATACCAGATCTTTCTTAGGTGCCCATAGAAATTTTAGAGTGACGACGAGTAGCGTGATTCGGCATTGTAGTACAAAACACGAGAAAACGAAAAATAATAAAAAAACGTATAGTCAATATACGCTTGTTGCATACAGACAATAGCTAGGAAGATTGCGCAGGCGCGATCTTATTAACGTAGATTTTTAAGGATCCGACGGCGTATGACTTATTGAGATACGTCCCTTCGTACTCGCTGAAACAAAAACGTGGAACAAGAATACCCTTTAAATATAAGACAAACGAACGAACAAACAAATAAACGAGAAATAAATAAATAAACAAAAAAAAGAACTCGCGATTTTACTGTGATCCCCACGTGTATTATAAAAAAAAAAAAAAAATACGTGTGCGATTGAGCGCGGCCGGAAAAGCCGCGCGTGACTGCGTGACTCGATTACGTAAGGTGTGGTTGGTTTCGTCCTATTAAGGAGGACCGCCGTTAAATAAAGATTCTTTGCCTGCACAAGTTTGTTTACGGGAATACTCTTTTGCTCCTATTGTAGGAGCAACGCCTCGTTCAGGGTAACTTTGCGATCGTATCTGGAAATCGAGTTCTATCCGCGGATCCGATCGCGAGATCCTGACAATTTCGTCAGACAATGACATTGTACGATACATTGATACGTTGCAATTACGATAGGGTTTATTATATCATGTACAACGAATAATAACGAAGTACTAATAAATCACTTCTAATATTACATCTTTTAAACTATGAACTGTAGCTTATCCCCAATGAACTGTACGTCTTTTCCTCTTTTTTTTTTTTAATTTTAAGTTTGTGTAATTAGGTATTAGCCTCTAGGTCCTCTGAATCTTCGTCTGCCATCAATCTAAAGAGACACAAACAAGAAATAAGAATAGTAATAAGAAAGAGTAGAAAATAATAGGAAATCATTTGCATTTCAATATAAAATATATGTTCATTTTATAAAAGTCCATTTCTTTACATGACCCTTCTAGAAATATATAAGTTGTAGAGGCATTACTAGAACACATTATGCTTGGTATATTTTACTAAAAATTAAAATATGCAGCTAAAAATACAAAAAGTATGTAGTATATAAAAAAACCAAAGCAATTGTTAAAAATTGTAAAAGAATTGATATTTACAATTGAATGTTTGCAATCAAAAAATGTTTGTCGCAACAGGTAACATTCGTCTGGTACAGACGGATGTCTGATTTGAAGACATTCTTTGGGAATTCGTCTTTCCTATGATAAAATAAAGATTGCGTTTTATTTCCTAAATATTTCTCAACATTCTGATATACTGCAAATGGAGGTTATGATGCTCATAGTACAGTTTAATAACTTACTATTTTGCAACAATCCGTTTGTAACAAACACATTTTTAACTTCGCACGTAAATAAGCACACTTAGTCTTATCCTTTAAAGTTTTAACTTCTTCTTCGTATTCAACCATTTCGTAAAATACATAATATAATGTAATTTCATATGAAATTGCTGTTTATCAATACAGAATTTGTAACGGGAACCCTAACCTCTCTCGACTGCAAGTACGTGCGTGTACAATGTATGCATGATTTGTGCAAGGGGTTAGGTTCTAATATATGATCAACGCAAGATTTAGATAGCAATTCTATTTAGAAATGTCATTCAAATTTGTCCGTCCATACATATGACGGACAATAAAAGACAATAAGCAAAATTTGTGGAAAAGGAGAAAGTGTGAGGTAATAGACCTTCTTCCTGATCAGATTATTGTTTGACAGATCATATGTAACATATTATTGTATATTGGAAGATATAATTAAAACGTTTCTTCTGAGATTTTTTTTTAGTTACATTTTTTCCTTGTACAGCGTTACATTCGTATTGTGGCAAAGCAATTTCTTTCAGAAATGGTTTATCAACGTGCAAATCAGAGGGACAGTTCCCCACATTATGTTCTTTTATACTCGGATGATGAAAATAGCGGAGACGAAGAAAATATCCCTCTGCAACAGCGTACTAAGCTTGCATCATTACCACGTAAAGTGGAAGTAATAAATGTTCTGTTGAAAGCAGAAGATACGTTACAAGCATTGGCATTACGGTATAGATGCACGGTAAATATTGAAAAAAAAAAAAGAAAGACAAGAATTAAAATCCAGAATAAATTGCAATGAATTCAAGTGAGTTGCATGTATTTCTAGATCTCTGAACTGAAAAGGATCAACAAGATTCATAAAGAAAATGAAATACATGCAAGACGATTCATCAAAGTACCTGTACAACCATTTTCTCTTCTGACTGAAACTTTAGAACAAGATCCAAGTGGACAGGCACACAGAAGCGAAGTAAGTACATCCAGTCCTGGTGAAGGGACAGAAAGTATAGTAACAAAAGATCCGCTATTAAATGTGATAAAAAGTCCTGTTGTGGTTGAATTACCAAAGACAGAAATTAATACAATTATATTAAACTCAGTTTGCGAACCCTTGTCGTCATACAACAATAGTAACTTAGACATTACCAGTTCAGAGTGTGATCAATTACTTACTCCAGCAGAGAGTAATACAGAAAACTCTCATTTAACAGAAACATTTAGATGTTCTGGTGATGACTGTGGAATATCCTGGACACAGCTTCTTGGATTTTCCTTGTTACTAGGCTTTGCAGGACCTATCATATATATACTTTACATAACTGAATTTTCATCTAAAACTCATTCAGTTGCTAATCATTAGTTATATAATATTGTTACAATAAGTACGATTTATTGTGCTATCAATATTTATAACAACAATTGCAACTATCAGTGTTTACAATAACTGCAACTTGCAATAACAATCAATTGATGACTATGTTATTTCAAATGAATAACATTATATTAAAAAGTAAAAATTTAGATTTTTAATCCATATGCCATTACATTGCTGATAAAAATATGATACTTTGTAAAGAATAATATTTTTTGACACTTGAAATATATAAATACATTTTTTAAGTAAATATATATGTAAGAGAAACTCAAATATCGAACAGCACGAATATGTGCCTTTGTAATTGTCTATTTAATGAATTTTTGAATAATTGTACAAACATTGTAAAATAAGAATCGCTAAAACTATTTCTAAAGATCTTGTACAAAAATATTAATGAATATCATATATTTGTTTTATATTTTGACGATTCACGTGATATAAAATTATTTGTTTTTATCTTATGTTATTTGAAAAAAAAAAAATGTTGATATTATAATTGTGGCGTACTCAGATATTGTATATTACGATAATTTTGTTTTCATGACAATAAGTATGTTATTAAGCTTCGGAATTATGTAAAAATTGTTTTGACAAATTTTTCTTGTTAAAATTTATAAAAATATATTTTTTGACACTTATATGTCTTAATTTATAACCTTTCGAAAGTTCATTGGAAATTTACAATACAAAAATATTTACAAATCAAATGCTCTGTATAGAAATGTGTTTATTTATTAATTTGTAACATTATAAGATACAAATCAAGGTGGTAATTTTCCCTTCTTTTTTCACTGTTAGTTCCTACGAGTGTGTCAACCGCTCCTATAAAACATGAAATAAGAATGAAATATCTTTTTAATTTAAAACTACATTGAAATTTTATTTAAAAAATATTCAGAATATATATTCAATTTTCATTCAACTTAATATATTCAGTAGACCGTCGTTAGTTTCATCATATTATATTTTCATTGCTATATTTTTTTTTTATTTACCTAAAAAAATATTACTAACCATAAATATCATAAATTTTATAATTTTAAAATTTCTTGAAACTTTTCTTAGATCCCGTTCCTTTAGAAACCTTCAGGACATTAAATCTGACTGTTTTACTGAGAGGTCTGCATTCTCCAATTGTTACTACATCGCCAATTTCTACATCTCTGTAATAAACAAAAATAATGTAAACAAATTTTGTTTGCTTATAATAAATATAGATTTAATTTTCTTTTTTTTATCAGAAAACGAAATTACTTCAAACGAAACAATTCAGAAGACCGTCGTTAGTATCATCATATACTTTTAATGAGTAATATGTAAAATTATCAAAAAGTATGTACAAAACTAACCTAAAACAAGGACTCAGATGGACACTCATATTACGATGACGCTTTTCAAAACGGTTGTACTTTCGGATATAATGAAGGTAATCCCTACGTATGACAATAGTTCTTTGCATTTTCATCTTCTGTACTACTCCGGTAAGAATGCGTCCTCTAATAGAAATGTTACCAGTAAACGGGCATTTTTTATCAATGTAAGTCCCTTCCAAAGCCTAGAGAATCATATTAAACGAGAGATTATAACACACTTGTTAAATATTATTAATTTTTATGTTTGTTTCTTTTACTGAAATTGGATAGTTACTTCACGTGGTGTTTTGAAACCGAGACCTACATTGCGGCTATACCGCATTGGTTTCCTCCTTTTTGGGCCTAGACCTTTCTTGCGGTTAAGAAAGATCGTAGGTTGTTTCTGGAATGCACGCTCACTCTAAAAAGCATGAAATATATTTATCATTACGCATGTATCAGAAATAGTGATTATATCGCGTATGCACAAATAATCTAAATCTAACCACGTGCAGCCATTATATTATTAACCTATTTATAACATTTTTAGTAAATCAATTTTTTGTTCTGGTTATCAACTACGGCGGTAAAATTAATTGTATGATAATTATATTTAACAAATATGAATGTAGACGTAAAAAATAAACATATTGCTGTTATTAATATTGAATACGCACCTGATCAGCCATCTTGCTGTACTAAAAGAACGATCGAATCTGAGAGGATAACGAACGTTGCGTTATGCTATTGAATTTCCAGTAATACCAACATTGAATTTCTAGTTATACCAACATTAGACAGTAACTTTGTTTTAGTCGAACGTTGTTTCTTCATACCATTTACAAGTGATAAATACGATATACACTTATGTTGATGCAATTATTATTAATGAAACATTGTAAATATTTCAGATAAAATTTTTTTTTGTTTAAAACAAAATCAATCAATATTTTTCATAATTTTTCTCATTAGTAATATTTATCATTAGAAATATTATGCAGAAATATTGTTTTACGCATGAAGTTAAATGTAACGATCAATCGATCGATCGAACCCCTTACAAGAAATCGAAAGCCTTACAAGTTGCAACTGTTACAGATTGTAGTGGTTAATCGTGAAGATTGGTTTTGTTTCTTTGGTGATTGTGCGTGAGTTGTAGATTATTCAATTTGTTCGAGTTCGTGCGTAAAAAGACATGTCGTTCTGTACCGCATTCCAGTTTTTAGCCAGCATTCAATCAATATCCAAAGAAACTGGTACCTTGTAAGTCTTAAAAATGTTATTACTGTACTGCGGATATATAAAAGTATATAGAATTTATATAATACTCAAAAATATGTGGAATATTGAGAGTAAAGTATAACATTTAGCAGATGAAACAAGCCTTTATTCAAATTCTATTTTGTCAAATGACAATTATGAATTTCTACAAAAATCTTCAGTTTAGTTAGCAACTATGAATTTCCATAAAAGAATATCTATCAGCATTTCATGATGAAAATTTTCTAATTCTTTGTAATCAGGCAAATTAATGTGAGCTATTGAATCGTAAATATTTTGATAAATATTTTACGCGCCAAGTTTCGTTTTTCTTAGTTTCGGTTTAAGTCTTTCACCGCCAGGTGGCAGCATCGCGCTGTTTGAAAAGAGAAAAAACGAAAACAATACCGCGCGCGGAATTAAAACGTTTCGAACATGAAAAGAACCATTGCGACTTCACTAATGTAATTTTATTTCGTTTAATGAATACGTATTTATCGGATCTGAAACAGACACCTTATTTTCTCCAATTCTTTCTTCCTCTCCGTCCCATTAAACGATACTAGATTCTTCGAGCCAATTATCGAGCAATTATTATTGCGCTAATTACGAGAACGAGTCAAAGATGTTCCAAACCGCGTTTTATTTAACATTGACTTTAGAAATCTGTAGATAAATAGATATCTATTGTAACAGATGTAATTATAATTATGATATAACAATAATACAGTAGTGATTTATAAAAACCTTGAAATTATTCACCTTGGATAAAATCTTCACCAACTCCATATTTTATTCAAGCGAACAATCACTTGTTTTTGTCGTTAGAGACAAGGGCACATGTTCATATACATTCACGAGTTACATTTTCTGTTACATTCTTAACCGGCTTGTGACTGGAAATCGGAACCAGCTCGTATCTCCATTATCGCGTCATACATCGTTGCCATTGTGGGAATCGATCGAAACAATTGCGGTGTCTTTCCTTAGATTATCCGCATATTGTCACGCTTTCGTTCATCGGTTACACCTTAGTTACCATTTTATAGTGAATGCGGTGAACGGCGAACCACGATCTAACTAATTTTCCACTCCCGTTTCCATTTCATTGTTGCATTTCATACAAATTACCGGAGCTCGTTTAACCATTCTTAGATAATGCGCAATGATGGTTATTTCGATTGGCACACTTGTATTTCGTTCTAGATTTATTACCTAGCATCTCATATACCGATTCTCAGAGACGAATGGAAATCGTTCGTATTTTAAATTCAAATTTAGCTTGAAGGATTATTTACAAATTCTGGTTGAGCACCGTCATGTTCCCCCTCCCCTCCCTTCCACCGCGTAATTAGGTGTGACGTATTATTCGGCGCGGGGTGTTATTGTACAACTGAAGTTCGTAGCGTTCGGACGTGTCGGCTCGTGCGATGTTTATTAACTGTGTAATACGTCGTTCATAGTTGCCTTTCCATCATTTATCCACGCTACTACCGATTCCGTTCAATTAACGTACGTTTTAAATCAATAGTTGATCGAATGTTACAATTTATATTTAAATTATGTCTTTCTTTGATTGTGTTCTGAGATCGTCACACTTATTCGTAGTTCATACTGTGAGCTTCTAAAACAGTATTTGATCTTGATCATTGTTCAATTCTTATATAATTCCTTAGTTTTATACAT